TGGGAGGCCGAGGCGGGTGGATCACGAGGTCAAGAGATCGAGACCATCCTGGTCAACATGGTGACACTCCGTCTCTACTAAAAATACAAAAAATTAGCTGGGCATGGTGGCGCGCGCCTGTAATCCCAGCTACTCAGGAGGCTGAGGCAGGAGAATTGCCTGAATCCAGGAGGCGGAGGTTGCGGTGAGCTGAGATTGGGCCATTGCACTCTAGCCTGGGTAACAAGAGCGAAACTCCTTCTCAAAAAACAAACAAACAAACAAACAAAAACTTGTTTGCTTCATATTGTTCTCGTGCTGTGTTTTTCAACTCCCATCAAGTCCTTTATGTTCTCTAAGCTGGTTATTCTAGTTAGCATTTCGTCTAACGTTTTTTCAGGGTTTTTGGTTTCTTTGCATTGAGTTAGAACATGTTCCTTTAGCTCAGGAAGATTTGTTATTATCCACCTTCTGAAGTCTGTTTCTGTCAATTCGTTGTACTCTTTCTCAGTCATGTTACGTTCCTGTGTTGTTGAGGAACTGTGATCCCTTGAAGGAGAAGAGGTGTTCTGGTCTCTGATGGTTTCATCTTTTTGCGCTGGTTTTTTCCCATCTTTGTGGATTTACCTGGCTGTGGTCAGGGAGCTGTTGATGAGGTCGCTTGTCTCCCTGTGTAGGCGCTACTGGGTTTCTAGGGACTCCTTCGGGTTACTAGGGAAGCTTCCTGTGTCTTTTTTGTTTATGCTGGGAGATTAGGCCTGCCTCTTCTGCTGACCTGTAGGTGCTGCTGGGTTGTCAAGAACGTCATCCCGTTGCCACATAGGCTTCCTGTGTTTTTTGTTAAAACATGTAGCCCAGTCCTACCCGTCTAGTGGTGGGTTGTCCCCTTCCTCCACTGGGATGGATCATTCACGGTTCATCTCAGACTGTGGCACTGGCTGCACAACCCACTAGAATCAGAGCTTCAGCCCTCTTGGGTTTGTGGGGGGAGGGTAGGGACCTGCCCAGCCACAGCTGGCCTTCTCCCCCTTTCAGCTCCCCCTTTCAGCTCCCCCCCCCCCCGTCATGGGATAGGGGCCTGCCCAGCTGCTCCTGCTTACAGCTACTTCTCTCTCTCTGGGTAGTGGGGCAGGGGTGGGGTGGGGGGCCTGAGAGCTCAGTTCGCAGGCTCTTATTCAACTCCGTGCTTGTAATTCCTGGCGCTTGTCTGGCAAAGATGCCCTGTTCTGTGTATTGCTGAGGCTTTGCGACAAGTGCTGTATCTGGTCCAGAGTGCCAGAGGGAGAGCCTCTGACTAGCCGGTCAGATGCACTTGCTGGGTGAAGCAGCACCCCTCCCCGCCTAGGTCTGCCCTGAGTGGGCTTTGCTCACCATTGGACCAGACCCATTGAAATTCACCTGGTACCTCAGTCGGAGCTAGGAGATCTCTAGATTTCTGCGTCTCTCTCGCTGGGTGTTATGTGCTGGAGTTGTGTCTAATCAGCCATCTTGGATCTTCCTCTTCTTATCGTTTTTTTTTAACTGAATGTATGTATACTTAACATTGTATCATTATCCAAAAAAAAATTGTCTCATTATCATAAATGTACATAATAGAGAATTTGCCATTTTAACTGTTTTTCAATGCACTATTCAGTGGCATTAAGTACATTAATGATGTTGTATAACCATCACCACCGTTTCCAGAACTTTTGCTAGCTTCAGAGAATCCTCTAAATAATATCATTAAAAATCATCAAGCAGAATCTCAGTGTTAGAATTAAGGGTTTTATTTTACTTTTAGTTATGGGGATCCATGGAAACAATGTCCTTAGAGGAGAGACTCGGCTTATTCCCCAGGGATGCGTTTCAGCGGCATCATTAGCAGAGTAGGAATATAGTATTAGTCATTATTTTAGAGGCCTGGCCATCTTGAGAATGTTTAATGCCTAGTCTGCAGTATAATTAGAGCTGATTTTGTGTATCTGGTTGTTTTTTTCAGGAGACGACCAATGGCTCTGCCTAACAGGAGTGTCTTTAGTCTGAATTTAGTCTGCAGCATTATACCAATTGTCTCTAGGGACATGTTCCCCAACACTTAACTCACACCTAGGTTGCAATTGAACCCTTACTAGTAATCAGGAATAGCTATTGCATGGAGCTTAAAATGAACTTGATCTTGGTGAAAGACGAGTCTGCAGCTAAGAGAATTTACTGTGTATCGTAGTTCTTTTGCACAAAGATCCTTTAATATTGTTTGTAAATTTTCCCCTTTGCACACATTGACCTGTTCCTTAATCTTCTTCTCTGTCTAGGTTTGGAGCAGGTATGTTAAGAAGTTGGGGGATTTTGCTAAGCCGGAGAATATTGACTTGGCCGTGCAGTGCCTGAATGAGCTTATAACCAATGCACTGCATCACATCCCAGATGTCATCACCTACCTGTCAAGACTCAGAAACCAGAGTGTGTTTAACTTCTGTGCTATTCCACAGGTATGGAACAGGGCTCCTCTGGGTGGATGTGGAGCTAATGGGAGTGGGGTGGCTTTTGCTGTGCTGTATTCAAGGATATGATTCCTTACAAAGATGACTCCAGTTTATTGTGCTGGGGGGTTCATAGCATTCCCCTTTGCTTCCAGCCACCAAACTCAGCTTGAGGTTAAGCCTACTCTTTTCAGAACCTTCTTTCTGGATTTACTCTTCTCCACAGCTATTCTAAACTAGTTAGGTTCTTATCCTCACAGGTAAGTCAAGGTCTTTGGCCTAGATTTATGGGGAGTGCTAGCTAAAATGTGGGTAAAGCTGTTATCATTAAAAAGTCTTCATTAAGCACCTAATTACTGGTGTCCTTTTCCTAGACCCAGGATAACAACCTGGTCCTGTAGACAGAGCCCCTCAGTATGCGAAGAGCTTACACTTTGTAGTTGCCTTTACCAGTTGTTTCAGATACTACTGCAAATAAGTGAAGAAAGCAGTAGCATTTAACTGATTTGGGAAGCTGGTTTGATCTTGTTCCATTGACCAACTTTGAATGGTGGTTGAAAGTAAAATCTGTATCCCTGTCTTACGTCTTACGTTTCCATTTACCTTTGAGCACAGGAAATCACCCCCCTTCTGTTGTTCTCCCCCAGCATTAGTTTTAAATATGTAATGGTTATGTTCGTTATAGGAAAAATAGAAAAACAAGTAAAATAGAAAATTCTTTCCACATACTATTTTGAGTTACGTATTTCAGATCTAATAACCCATTGCTCTAGCATGGAAAATGTTGGATTTACTTGTGTTTGTTTTTTCCAAATACAATGGAACTTTTGTGACTAAAGTACAGTACTGTTTAAGACTGCATAGACTGCTGAATTCTGTGTGGTGTTGAGAAAGGCAGTAGGGAAGGGAAAAATCTTGACATACTTTCTTTGTGGGTATTTTTTCTTGATTAGTTACATCTTAGTTCATTAGAGTTGGCAATTGCTCATTCAGCAGAAGGTTTTCTTACCTTTTTGTGATGAAAGCTTTACCACACCAGCTCTTCTTTCCCCTCTCATCTTGTTCTCTGTAGGTGATGGCCATTGCCACTTTGGCTGCCTGTTACAATAATCAGCAGGTGTTCAAAGGGGTAGTGAAGATTCGGAAAGGGCAAGCAGTGACCCTGATGATGGATGCCACCAATATGCCAGCTGTCAAAGCCATCATATATCAGTATATGGAAGAGGTGGGTTTTTATCTGCTTGGATAATTTGTAGCCACTTTTATGATTTAGTCATTCCACTATTTCAACATGTTTGGGTACCAGCTGGTCCTAACACCTCACTGTCCTATGGCCTAAAGAGACAGGAATTGATACCCTTTATTAGGAAAAAAGTCTGCACAGGAGTGGAGCAGATTGCTCATTGCTGTGTAGAACCCTGGTGAGAGGGGAAAAATGGAGCAAGGCTATGGGAGGGAGCTTGGGTAGAATCGTACATTTTGAGTGGTAAGATGATGCAGGAGACCAGCCAAGCCTCTTGCTGATGGTGAGGAATGTGAGGTTGAAGCTGGTGTGTGCTGTTGCAGTGTGTGAATCAGTGGATCTCAGGCTCCCGTCCATGCGTCCTGACACCCAGTCCAGTACTTTCATTATGCCACAGGCATCAATTGAAAAATCACAGTTGAGAATTTAGGCCAAGGAAAGCCATCAAGTTGCAATTATCTCCTAAATTTTCTGTGGACAGTTTCATTTCAAATACCAAAACCATCCTGTAAAAAGAAAACATACCTGCTCGGGTCAAATCTCTAATATTTGACTAGGTTCAAAAAATTTATTCTGGCCAGTAGCTCACTCCTGAAATCCCAGGACTTTGGGGGATACCAAGGTGGGAGGATCACTTGAGTCCAGGAATTCAAGACCAGCCTGGGCAACATAGCAAGACCCTGTTTATACAAAAAAATTTAAAAATTAGCTGGGCATGGTGGTGCATGCCTGTGGTCCCAGCTATTCGGGAGTCTGAGGTGGGTGGATCACTTGAGCCTGGGAGGTTGAGGCTACAGTGAGCTGTGTGATCTCATCATTGCACTCTAGCCTGGGTGATAGAGTGAGACTTTGTCTTTAAAAAAAAAAGGAAAAAAACTGTATTTCTTAGAGACCAGAAGTCTCTATAATCTCTAGCGATCTCTAGGGCCTAGAGCAGTGGTTTATAAATGGAGGTGATTTGCTCCCCTCCCTGCAGAGGACATTGGACAGTGTCTGGAGACATTTTTGATTGTCCTAACTGGCAGGAGTGGGGTGCTACTGGCATGTGGTGAGTAGAGGCCCCAGATGATGCTGTGATCCTCAGGTGTGATCTTGTTGAGATTGAAACACTGTAGAGTTGATGAAAACATCCAAGACCCTCATCATTCCTCCTCGACCTGAGCTCCCTCCCCAGAGGTTACCACTGTCTCTGGTTTTGTACATCCTTCTAGTCCCGGAATATGGTTTGCAACAGTGTTTGCATCTGAACAGAATTCTACAAAATATTTCTGATTTCTCCTGCAGATTGCATATTCTGCTTATATTTCCTCCCTACCTTCTATCTGACATAGAAAGCTGATATCCAAAACTTCTGTCAGAGGCACGTATAGAAGTCTTAAGAGAAGACCAAATCTCTTTTCCAAATCCTAAAATTTTGTAGTGACTAGATGAAAGTATTCAGTCACTGACCAAAAACATTGCTACCAATGACTCTCCAGTTTGCCATGTAGGCAGCACTTATTTTGAGCTGTGTGCCTAGGGTAGTGACCAAGTGGGTGGGTATTAGTAATCCTAGGGAAACTTGGATTTGTAATTACTAATACCTTGGGTATTAGTAATCCTAGGGAAACCGGGCTAGAGTTACAATTTGAACCAAGGTCTGTCTGACATCAGAATCTGTGATGTTAACCCCAATTCTAAGGGGTTCAGCTACCTTTTCTAAATGGAATGCTGCCATGTTAAGCACTAGCTCTTCATTTTATAGAAATTAGAAACATAATATGTAGTAAGTAGTTCAGAGTGTTTTGGTTATGCAGTTTTTTTCTGATCATTGATAGTTTTAAAAGCCGGTTTTTAAACATTTTGTGGCCATTCTATTGCTATATTAAAATTCAGATTTATTTGGTTTTTCCTTAACTGTTGGAATTAAGTCCTAGTTGCGATGCGTAGTCTGAGGGCAAAGGTGGACAAGCCTGTTTTTGTGAATAAGTTTTATTGGAAAACAGCCACGCTCATTTGTTTATATCTTCTGTGGCTGCTTTTGCAACCTAACGGCTGAGTTGAGGAGCTGCAACAGGGGATGACTTGCAAAGCTAAAAATAGTTTTTGGCCCTTGAATAACAGGTTTGCTGATCTCTGAGGTAGGGCATGAGTTGTTTTGATTAACGTTATCTTAGGAAAACTCAAGGCTTTGGGGGAGAAATTTTTTTTTTTTTGAGACGGAGTTTCACTCATGCTACCCAGGCTGGAGTGCAATGGCGCGATCTTGGCTCAACACAACCTCCACCTCCTGGGTTCAGGCAATTCTCCTGCCACAGCCTCCTGAGTAGCTGGG